ATCTATCTATCTATCTATCTATCTATCTTTCTATCTATCTATCTATCTATCTATCTCACTCTCACTCTCTCTCTCTCTCGCTCTCTCGCTTTCGTCTCTGCTGCTTTTTCTCTCCTTCCCTAAGGCCTCTTCCCCTCTCTGCATCTCTTTCTCTCAGCCATTTATATCATAATATATGTGTAAACATAACAAAGATTACGGTTATGTGTGCGTATGCGTGTGTTTGGGTGATTACCCAAGTATATTTGTCCATTTGTCTATGAACACATCAGCAAATTGTTTTCGCCCCTTCTCTAAGAGCATCGTTCTTCCCTTAAAACACTTTTTCTTATATCATGATGCATCCTCTTTTCTTGAATCTTATCTCCTCTCCCTATCCCGCCACTGCAACAAGACGCTCTTGCTAGAAAACAAATAAACACCAAAAACTCTATCTATTTACTAAGTGAAAATCTGATCAAACACGTGTTTATTTTCTCTCCATTCACATCGTTTGCTGGCAGAATGCTAGCATGCAACTTGCACATTACCATAATTTTGCGCTATGTCCGATATTATTGCTCGGTAATAGCTATCGAACCCTATCTATGATGTCCCTTATATAACGGCAATTGAGGAAATTAATGGATCCAGACCTTCCCGGAGTAATGAGCTCCTTAATCTGTCTCTTTCATGCAGAAATACATTTACCTCTATGAGCAAACCACTCCGCTGCATGTTTCAGATCTAAAGATTTTGGCGCCCTGTGATAATATTATCGTGTCTGGTAAATGCTTGATGGCCAGCAGGCCGGGCGGAATCCGATTTGAAAAAAAACCGGTTAACACGGTTTGTTCGACAACGTTTTTGAGAATTACGGAATAATGGTTCTGATCGCTTATTACTTAGTAGGAGCAGTACTGTGATCGGTGAATTCGTAATTAGCAGCAGAGTTGGGTAGAATCTGGTTTGAAAAAAAAATGGTTACCCTTCGGTCTTTACGGTAGATCTAAGATAGGAGAGTACTAATCTTATTCTGAACACTCACTCGCACAACGAAGAGGTACATCACAATAAGAACATGTGTAAGGAGGGATAACTATCAAAATGATATTTCATGAAGCATGCTTTTGAATCAATTAAACATTTGCCTCCGAATGTGTACCCTTAAAATGTTGTGTGATAGACGTCCAGGTAGCTGGAGCCAGATGTGAAAAAGACCTCCCAAAGAGTTTTGACGTTCCTTCCTAAGTGCTCTTTCAAGAGACAGATCTCTAGATCTTAGAAATCTTGGTGGTTCACACTTTTAAATAAGGTTTCTGAAATACAAGAACATTTTATTGTTAACATATTTATGGCAAAAGAACATCAATTCTGCTGTTGTTTGGAACCAACTGGGTTATCTTAAAATAGAGATGATACAGTTGTTCGCCCCCCTTTTTAAGACGCTGCCATTCTCGCGGCATGGTTTTTTGAAAGCATTGTATTTTGGAGACAGTGGTGGTTATTCTGTTTTATTTCGGGGGGGGTTCACTTTTTTTTGCTGTTCTTCGTGAACTCAAACCTGAACTTTGACCCCCCAGGAGGCGAGTGGGTACTGTATATCAACGGTTCGCCGACCCGCCAGGGCTACATCACGGGGGACCAGACTGCCATACCTTCTGGAGGGGAGTTTGTCCTGGGTCAATGTTCAAGGCCGGACGTCAAGTTTGACAGTAGCTTTGCTCTGGACGGGGATTTGTCACATTTGAACATATGGAACTTTGTGATGAATCCCTCAGAGGTAGGAAGACACAGGGAAATGTTTACCTTCCCCTATCTATCTATCTATCTATCTATCTATCTATCTATCTATCTATCTATCTATCTATCTGTCTGTCTGTCTGTCTATCTATCTATCTACCTATCAAACTATCTATCTACATATCTGTGACATATATCTGGTTATCTGTCTAGCTATCTAGGTAGCCAGCAAGCTTCCAGGGCAGCTTTTAATGTTCGTCTTAAGTTTGCAGTTCCATTAAGAACTAAATCTGAATAGATCTACAGCAGGTATTGACCTAAAAGCAATATCACCTTTCCAGCTGTGTCCCTTTTTAACTCTTCTGTTAGCTAATGTTATTTCCCCCTCTTTGGACCGCAGAATATTCAGTTTTTACTCAGACCTAAACCTTAAATCACCTCCAACAACAAGGCTTTCATAGACTGACTTTTTATCCCATGTGTCCCCACATATTTCCGTCCCCTCTCACACTCACCCCCGAAACCTGTCCCCCCATATGTTCGTCTCCTCTCACACTCACCCCCGAAACCACCACCCGTCCACAACCAGCCCCTCTGTCCCACCCCCTCTCATTCCTATCTTTCCTATATTTCCTATTCTAATTGCCCCGCCCATCCACCCTCAA